TAATTCCAATTTTAAAAAATAATCATTTACAAATACATATTTTATAATAAATATCATATTTTTGTGACTGCAGGTGGAAAGGAGCAGGAGAAACAACTGATATCTGTAGTTGATAAACTAAGTCTTAGAGTTAAGTTGAGTACATCACTCAAGGTCACACAATGACCAAATCAGGGAGCCAGGAGTTGAATCCAGACAATCTGGGTACAGATCCTGTACTTTTAATCACTGTGCTATGTTGCCTCTCAGGTCCTTTAAATATATAACCTGTGATCCTCATAGCAGCCCTGCAAGGTGGGCATTATTATCCTCATTTTACAGTGACTTAGCATCTTTGGGACATGGTATTACCATCTTTGAAATGGGCACGAATAAGCATCCCCATAAGAGGGTAAAATGAGGAGATGCATGTGTCTGCACTTAGTAAGTACGTACTCAAGGCACACAGTACGAAAGGGGCACACCTTTGTCAAGCGGGGCACACAGAGGGTTCACTTTGGTGGGTAAGTTAGGGCCCCTCTGCTTGTCTGCCTTCTGGTCCCTCTCAGGAGCCAGTGCCCAAGGTGAGAGCATTAGGAGACCGGTGGTCATCGAGTCACATGAAGGATCTTATTTCCATGTTTAAATCTAGCCAAAAATCATACATGAAAACAAAAACAAACCAATAAAGCTACTCCCTGGCTCAGTCGTACCGTTTAGCTCCTTTTTTTTTCCCCCCCAGACAGAGTCCTCCTCTGTTGCCCTGGCTGGAGTGCTGGAGTGCACAGACACAATCTCAGCTCACTGAAACCTCCACCTCCCAAATTCAAGTGATTCTCGTGCCTCAGCCTCCTAGGTAGCTGGGATTACAGGTACAAACCACCAAGCCCAGCTAAGTTTTTGCATTTTTAGTACAGATGGGGTTTTGCCATCTTGGCCAGACAGTTCTTGAACTCCTGGCCTCAAGTGATCTACCCGCCTCAGCCTCCCAAAGTGCAGCTTTTTTCGTTTTGTCTCATCATTTAAAAACACTGTTGTAGCATTCTTAATGAAACTTGAAATTCAAGTTTAATTTAAAATGTGTTGTTTTAAACCCAGCAAATTGGGAAAGAAGAGTAACCAGGAATTCTTAGATAACTTGAAGGGCTACAGGGGTCTACAGCGGGCCATATGTCTGAGATCTGGACACAGTGAGAAGCTCTAATGTCGCCAGACCTCACATACTCTGGCAGATTCTGCGACTGGCCAGCTATGTGACTTCTGCAAAATACTCGCTAAGCTTCCTTTTCCTTACCATGAGGGAATAGTAAGGGGATAATAAGGCCACATTCCTCACAGTGTTGTTGGGTGGATGCACAATTGCTTTGCAAACTGTAAAGTGACATACAAGTTATTACACTCTCATAAGCTTTGTGGTACTGCTGCAGCCTACTTAAATCTGAGTAAGTACTCACACTACACTTCTAGGTGGAGGATAAATCACTAGGAGGAGGCAGAAGTGCTCTAGGTTCACAAGGCCATGTGGAATGGCTGAAGAATCTAGTCCAGGTCATGTAATGACTTGCTTTGTGACTATGATGTGTGTGATGTCACCTCTCCTCTCTGGGCTCCACTTGTCCTGTCTGTAAACATGCAGGAAAGGGAGTTAAAGTCAAGGTTCTCTGATGTCCCTTTCAATCCTCTTACTCAACATTAAACTCTGTTAATTCCTTCTCCAAGCCTTGAGTCATATCATCTAAGAACAACCACTCAGTGAGACTCTAACACAATTTCTCTCCAGCCTGAATGATTTATCTGGGATTATGCTGTATACCCTGTCATGGCTGAAATAAAGGCACTCATTTAATTCTGCTTCCATTAGACTGAGTCCTTTGGATGACAATTTCTTATAAATGACTGTGAGTTTCTTGAGGGAGAAAGACCGGGCCATGTTCACTGGTCTTTACGTCTCCTTGGAAAGGAACATGGTGCCTTGTAGGTAGCAGGAGCCCTACAAACGTGTGCTTGGCTGAACTGAAAGTAGTCCAGTGCAAATATGGCTTACTCATGTGCTCCTTTCTTCCTCTCTCCCTCCACTAAAACTGCCCCCATTTGGCCAAGGCTCAGAGTAATAAAGAGGCCAGTGGCAATAACTCTTAATACCCCTGGCACTTGGGGACAGTCCACTCTCTAAGGTGGTTTCATCTATGCCACCCTGCAAAGCAGGGGTCCTCGGCACCTTCCCCTTGGCTCCCGCAATGGGTGGATAGCCCACTGAACTGAGAGCGCCCTGAGGTGAGACGTTTCCTCATTTCATAGTTGAGAACCCGAGGTCAAAGACCCTCAACAATTTGGCCTTCCCAGCTGATTCTATTCCCAACCATGATGACCCATGGGATGTCTTCCTGACTGGACTGAAAGTCCCATGGGACAGACATCACATCACAGTTCCCAGCAGGGCACCCAGGCATCTGATATCAGTTGAATGAGTGGATGCTCCTTTATCCTGGCAATCGTCCCACTGCATTGCAATTACTTCCTGTTTCTCTCTCCCTCTAGATTGTGACCTTCACAAGGGTAGGGACTGTGTCTTATTTATCTCTGAAGCCCCAGTACCCTGGACAGGGTCTGATACAATGTAGACACTTGGTTAACATTGGTTGAGTAAGTGAATAAACTATGTGCAAGCTCATTTCAGCCCATAACATGCTCCAAAAATGCAAGTGGTATATTCTCCCACAATTGGGGATTTTTCTGGTTGATCTTTTCCACTTCCTACTGGCTCATCTCTCAGAACAGCTGGCGGAGGCTCTATTCCCCTGGGGTGTGGATCAGCCCCATTTCCTATGAGAAGAACCTCTCTCTCCCCGCAGAGCTGTGGGCTTTGGGCTATGGTATGCCCATGCCCCATGTTACCAATGGTGCATTCTTGTGCTAGGAGGGCTGGCTCTGAAGTATGGCAAACAAAGGATACACTTGAATTGCATTTCATGGGAAAGAATCAATGAGCCTTGTTCTATAACCTACACTTGCATGTATACTGGTAGGGAGAGAGGTGCGCCCTTTCCCCACATTTCCTAAAGACATGCAGTTATTTCACTGCCCAGATGTGCAACAGCTGTTTGAAGGCTTTGGCCAAGACTTTTGACTCGTGAGAAGGGAATGGTGGCTCCTCTCCCCTTTTCTTCTATTACATGAGTGTTACTATTAGTTACTGGAATTGTGCCTACACAGACAAAGTGAAGGGGAATGCTGAGGAAATCATGCAGATAATGTAGGCTGACATCTCTTTCCTATGAAGAGTAAATATAAAAGCACTTTACCTTGCCTGAAGACAGGGGTGCTTGTTGCCCTTCCCTGTTTTGTCCTAGCTTGGCCCATAATGATGTCTCTGAATAGAGAGCCCTTTCCTTTCCAGGAAACCGCTACCCATCCAAGTGTCACCTTCTTGAAGAATGCTTTCCTACTCCCACAACAACCAATATATAACTCTACAACAGCACTTATCACAGTTCATTAGCATTTAACTTTCGGTCTTTCTCCCCCATTTGAGGTCCTGGCGTGCAGGGACAGGACTTCCTTATCTCTATGCCTAGCATAGGGCCCAATTCTAAAAGAAGAACTCTGGATATTTATGGAGCACAAAAATTAATGAACTCCACAAGTTTCAGATTGATTAAGGAACATTTCAACCCTCCAAGATCTCAGGAGAACATAGACCTTCTGTTTCTGCCTAGCTACTGTGGCCAACCCCACAAGCTCCTTGTTGACAATTGCTCCACTGGGCCTGGGCCTGGGTGCATCAGGCCCAATTACCTCCTGGATTTAGGCAGCAGGCAAAAGGGCTGAAAGCTGCCTGGCTCAAAGACCAGTGCTCCGAAACAGCCCTCTCTAGGCTGCTGAAACCCACTGAAGGCAAATAAACCACAGAAATCACAATATCACACACTTGGCCTTTTAATTCTTATGGTGCTTTGGGGTTTGAGAATCCCTCTAAATAGAAAATTCCCAAAGGTTAGAATGCTGAGTTTCTGACCTATTGATTTCCTACACTGTGAAACATATTAAAATCCTTTGGTATAAATATTAGGGAGCCACATAGACTTGTTTGGACTAAGCCAACTGTTAGGCCATCATTAGGAAGAAAGGGTTAACTGTTTCGGTTTTTTTCATATCTTTATCTTTTCATTCTCCTAATAACCACCTGCGGGTGGGAGAATCAGGAAGGACTGATGTATCTTCCAGGTGGGAAAGTAGAACACATTATGGTTGTATTTACCCAAGTTAATGCAACAGAAAAATGAAGGCTAATACTATGACTAAGATAAGGACTGAAATGGTACTTATGGGCCAGCTGCCTCATTTTATTAACAGGGAGAGTGAGGCCCAGAGCCACCAAACAGCATGTGTACGGATGCACAGGGAGTCAAAGCCAGAGCTGGAATTAGAACTCAGGTCTTCACTCTCAGCTAATGAATGTTCTAAAAGATGAGCACCTCCTTCCTTGGGCTTTGACTGTCTAGCACTTTAAAAAAACCCAAAGCAAAGGCCATTTCTATTACAAAAGGTGTCTGCTGGTGTGCAGTGAGGGTAACCCCCAGAATCAGAGGAGAAGAGACCTTGACCAAAGGTAACTCAACCTCCCTGCCCTGGAGAAGTGTCCCTCTGCAGCTTCTGTGATAAAGAATTAGATGGTCTCTTCTTATCCATCTCCAGTGAGGGGGACCCATAACTTTGCCAGACATCTCATCCTACTGTTGAATAGTTAGAAACCTCTTTCTTCCATATGCCTTCTCCTCTTTACTGGCTGCTGGATATCAATTACTTTCATTTATATTAGTTAGTTTTAATTGATTCAAATGGAACACCTGTGACACACACTCATCCCTAAGCCACATATGCAGCCTTTTTGCTTGCACCGCAGGTCCCCCTGACTGCATGACTGGTGTGCTGGTGGCCTGTTAGCTCAGTAATACCCATTCTCCACTCTGGGCCTCCCACCCTCTGGAGCCGCCTGGAGCCCATTGGTGCCAGAGCCCTACCTCCATCGTTGTCTTTGCTGTCACCGCAGGCAGTCTCCATGGAAGTGTCACAGCCAGCTCCTCTCCAGCCCAGCTGGCAGACGCAGTGCCAACCATTCAGGTCTAAGGTACATCTGCCGTTGCCATTGCACAACCCAGGGCAACCCTCTGAAAGACAAAGTACAGAGTCGAGGTCTGATCACCCAGAGTCAACCGCCATCACACACACTCACACACTACCTGCCAACTTGCAAAATGCCTTCATATCCATCAGCACACGAATGCCCACAGCAGCCCAGGGAGGCAGGTATCACTAGGAATTGCCACTTTACAGAGAAGGCAACTGAGGCTCAGAGAGGTGAAAGGACTTGCCAAGGTCGCACAGTCAGAAGTGGCAGGGACAGGGTTGAAACCCACACCTTCTGTATCTAAAAGCCCTTCTTTCAAAAGTGACTGGGATTCTGGAGCTGGAGTCGGTGGATGTTGGCCTGTCAGAATCTAACCAATAGAACTTTTTGCCTGATCCTTGCTTCTTGTTCATTCTCATGTGTTCCTCTTATCTCTGGCAGCTGTTTAGCACAAAGGAAACACCTTTGTGTTTATTCCTCGCTTCCTTCAGCACTTCTGGGTATCATTCTAAAGGGCGTTATTTTTTCCAACTCTTATAGTAGGTCAATTTTATTGGACCCTAGGCTTTTCATTTATTTTGTCTTATTTTCTCCTAAACAACTGTCTTTGCTTTGAGGAAGAGGGCTTGGGGCTTTTTCTTACCATCTTGTCTACAGCTACACTTAGAAAAGGCCCTGCACCCAGAGGAGCTGTGATGGCCATTGTGAAAATCTAACTAGGGCTGTCTGTGAGTGCAACGCAGGTACAGCCAGGCTGCTCTGCTCTCATTATGCTCATATGCACATCTGCCTGCCTGTCTGTCATTTATTAAGCATCTTCTTTGGGCTAGCACTGGAGGTACAGAAATGAATAAGACCTATTCTTATTCATGAGGTGCATAAAGCCTATCAAAGGAGACAAATTTATATAGGCAAAAAATTTCACTGCTAAATGCCCTAAAGGAGATGTACAAAATATGGTGGGAACTTAACACAGGTGTGGCCATCTGAGAGGGCTGTAGATGATTTGATCAAGAAGGGTCAGGCAATATTTAGATGTTGTGTTGGTTCTGCTTGGACCATATTATAAAGTGGGGAAGTTTAAAAAAAAATACTATTAAAGTAGATTTGCAGGTTTTTTGATTGCCACATCTTTAAACCTCTCCAAGTTTGTGGCTCAGAAATCTATGTTGAGAATATGTTAAGTTACATGGTTCACTTCAGCTTCTATTGTGCCACTTGGTTTTCACTCAAGTCCTTACATTAACAATCCTGCCAACCCCCTTCTCCAAGGGGCTATCAAAAACCACCTGTCACTGGCAAGGCTTCCATCTCTTCTCTGCCTCTGCTCAGTCTTGGGAGAGGTATGGATGTGAAAGCACTGTGTCGGCTTCATTTGTTTTGTTATTATGAGCAGCAAAGTGCTCCAAATATGGCTACAAACTGAATCTTCTGCCGTGAAGTAATGGGAAATTGACTCATTATTCTTAAATGGGACAACAAATGTGAAAGTTGCTGCCCAGTACAAGATCTGGGCCAAGGTAGCCAGCCGCTCACTAAATGGCTGATCAATCAGAATCTAAAACTTGAGTGTTTCAAGGACTTTTGATAGTTGACCATTATTCCAAAGTAAAAGAAAATAACATGTTTATTTCCACTTGAGATGTTCATCACAACAACCCATCAATCTGGCCACTGTGTTTTCCATTCAAAGGAAGAAACATGTAACAGTTGTATACTCCAGCCTAGGAGGGATTCCTCCAGAAGTGTTTGTAGACTATGGGTTTCTGTATAGCAGGAGCCTGCTGGGAAAGATGGGAGGCTACCAGCATGGCCACCCCAAAAAGTGATTGAGAAAGAAGTTTAAAAAGTGAGTCCCAGGAGCAGCGCTGTGACACACAGGTGGCTATCCAGGCACTCTGACTCAGTTGCTAACATCAGCCACCTTTAGTGATCTAAACAATCACAGTTTTCTCTTTTCCACAATTAGTCTCATGTCAACTTTTGTCTGTCCAGCTGGGACTTATTTTCAATTAAGCCTCGTTTGTATTTGGAATTAGTCATGGAGGAAGTAGGGTCTGATCTTTAAGAATGGTAGCTGACTGCTTTCTTTTGCTGTAAGATAAAGCCTCTTATAAGAGACAAAGAGTATCTCTTGCGTAAGAGCACAAGCTTGAGAGGCATATCAGAGTTTGGCTGTACCACTCAGTGGCTGTGTGACTCAGGCACGTTATTGAATTTCTTTGAGCCTCAGTCTTTTTACTTACAAACTGTGGTTGTTGGGGGGGTTAAATAAGGTATGCATGATGCACAAAGCCTGGCATACAGCTCAAACATAATATCTGAATCTTCTACTCACCTTTACCTTCTCTCTATTTTGGGCAGAGGGCATATAATATCATATGTTGTACCCATAACCTCAGGTGGGGCTCACAGAAAGGCAAAATAGGAAACTGAGGCAGTTATCTAGATCAGAGTCAGCAAACTTGTTCTGTAAAGACCCAGAGAATAAATAGTTTAGGCTTGTGAGCCATATGGTCTCTTGCAATTACTCAACTCTGCCATTATAGCTTGAAAGCAGCCATTTTTACATGAATAAGCATGGCTGTGCTCCAACTAACTTGATTTACAAAAATAGGTGATGGGCCCGATTTGGTCTGTGGGCTGTAATTTGCCAACCTCTGGTTTAGATGCTTCAGGATGGTGAGACAAAGACAGCTGCCATGTACTGAGGGTGTACTAGGGCTGGCCACTGTGCTAGGCACTTTATATAGATTTCTAAAATAAGTAAATTTTTGTTAAAAATATTCAGATCCTGATTTTCTAGGGCAGATCCAATTTTACACCATTTAATCCTGAATTTTTAATAAAAGCCATGTGTCGTAATAGAGCGAGGACTTTGGAGGTAGATCAGCCTCAGTTCAAATCCTAGCACCATCATTTTACTTACTACTTGTGTTATAACTGGCAAATTATTTAACTCTAAGCTTCAGTTTTCTCATCTGTAAAATGGAGATAATACCTGATTCTAAGAGTACTTGAGAGTATTAAATGAGATAATATATACCAATTATTTATCACAGTGGGTAACATACATAGGCATTCAAAAAATGAGAGCTGTTATTATTATTATTATTGGATTTACTTGTTTTAAGTTTGCATAACTTTACTAAGAAATTCATAAACAAGAAAATAACCCTTTGCCAGCCCAAGTTGTATAATGTTTAGGTCAAAAGCTACGGTCGTCATAAATAAATCCTTGCCAAAAACAATCAAGACAAGCACTGGGCTTGTCTCACGGCACCATGAACATGCAGTGCAGTGAGAGGTGGCACGATGGGTTCAGGGCTGCGAGTCCCAGTGCAGGCCACCATTCATGCTTTCCTAGCACACTGTACTTCTCTCAATAGCAACAGTCCCAAGGATACTTAAATGATCAATTGATCAATTCTGCAATTCGTTTCATTGTCTTACTTCTTCCATTAGAATGTACCAGTGCCTGCACATAGCAGACACTCAATATATATTTGTTAAAATGAATCAATGAGAGGGACAAGAGACCTGGGTTCTGGCCTAATATGGGGGGAGTTGGGAAAGTTACTTTCTCTCTTTGGGTCTCAATTTCCCCATTTATAAAATAAGGATTTGGATGAGATGATCCATTAGGTCCTTCCGGCATAACTGACCCAACAGAGAAGGTCAAAACAACTTCAAGTTAGTTGATTCTGTTCTTAAATTCAACCAACTTTACTCAGTACCTGGAGGATACTGGACTTTGTGTTAATTAACAGAGATGAGATATATCATCTGCCCTAAAATTTTTTATATTCTCTTTATTTATACCATACTTTGTTCCAGGAAGGGTTTAAAATAGGTCTTATAATCACAAACCATACTTCTCAAAGTGAACCTTGTGAAATAGTAGTTCTATGAGGTCTTCAAGAACAAGCTTCTGCAGTCAAATAAGTTTGGAAAACATTGCATTCTATACCCTTATTGTAGAAAGTCACACGAATATCAATATATTAAAGGCTCCAAGAAGTCTTAGAATAAAGAAAGCTGCTTATTTCATTACTACTGCATTTTCCAATTTGACTTCAGAACTCTTTCCCCCACCCAGTAACCTGTTCGATATTCCATTCTATAGAACACCCTCAGGGAAGCCCTGCTCTAGTGAACTCCTGTGGGCACATGGCATCTTGGGCACATAGTCCATGCTGCTCTGAGGCTGTCTGAAGATATCATCACCAGATCTTTAGTGGGATTAGGTCAATGAATCATTGAGGTGCCAGTTTGGAAGATGTGGAGCAGGTGTTCTCAGGGAGGGTTAACTCCAGATGTGGAATCACAGAGAATCACAAATGTGGAAATCCACAGTCAATTTCTTCAAATGGACCAAGTGATACCCTAAAGATCTGCACTATCTTCTAAGTTTCGGAGGGACTGTGAGTACCTGTGGGTGGAACAAGGTTTGCTTTCATCCAGCCATTTGCTTCTGGGATAATCACACCCCTAATAGCCAGCATTATGAAGACTCCTCCAGGATGACTTGCTGACTTTCTTAAAGCAATATGTCCATCCTTACCCGCTGAGGCTAATTCCACAAACCCTGAAACTCATCAATAATTCAGAGAGCCCACGTGACATTAATAATCCCTTCTGGAAAGACTCACACCAGGCATTTGCTAGAGTCAAAATAATGTAATTTTAAAGTTTAGAGAAGGGCTAACAAAGCTTTTCAAAAGAAATGATGCCCTTTGAATTACAAGGGACCACTTTATCTTCAATCTTCTGCTTAGGCCTATGAAGAAGTCCCCCTTGCAGCTAGCACCAGGTATGATTAGAAGACTTTCAGAATCCTTGAAGGTATTTACTTTTTTAGTTAAGTGGCATGGATGCTATGCAATACACTTATCATATATCAAATGGCCCATTTCTTTATGTTTCTCTTACTGGTCCTCTTATACTCTTTTCTCTCTCCATATTCACTTCCCTAGACAAAGCCATCATCATCTCTTACCTAGATGACAGCAATAGTCTGCTAATTGGTCTTCTTGTTCTCAATAGTCCCCCCTCAATTCTCCTTTCACAATAGGGCCAGACTGAGCTTCCAAATCACAAATGTGATCTAGTTATCATCTTGCTTTTAAAAACCTTCAGATGCTTTCTTATACCCTTACGTTAAATTCCACAATCTATAAGGCCCCAACAACCTAAGTTAGTGGGGTGGCTACTTGCTAAGTGGTGGCCTTTGGACTTCCCCTGTCATAACTCTCATCACACTACGTTGGAATTATTTGTTTTAGTGTCTTCTCTGCTAGACTGCAGGCACCTTGAGAGCAGGGACCATATCTGTTGTGTGGTATTCATATTTCCTAGCACTTAGGAGTTCAGCAGATTTGTTGAGTAAACATTGTTTCTTTACTCTCTACCAAAGCAACTGGGAAGCAATGAACAAAATCTTGCCCATCTTTGAACAGTAAAATACTCTACTCTGACAAGACCTGAACTTCCAAGAGACAGATCTCTGAATTATTTTTTTAGAATTAGTATCCATTATACCAAAATATCAGCCAGATGAGTGCTTGGGTCAGACCTAGATTTTGCCAAGAAACATTTGCCTTTTAAAACAAGTTATGATTCATTGACCTAATCCAACTAAAGTTCAGGTGATGATATTTTCTGAACTAAAGATCAGAGCAGGTGATTTGAGAAAGAATACAGGCCACTTCCCAGAGAGGGTGCCAGTTTGGAAGATGTGGTGTGAAGGAAAATATATTGGAAATTATGGACATTCTTGGTGACTTAAGGTGACAGAAGATAGAATGTTGAAATATGGATAAAGCCAGGAAATGCAGAGTCCTGGTTCTGCTACTTACTAGAAATGTGAGCCAGGATGACCCACTCAACTTCTCAACTTCAGTTTCCTTTTTCAATCAAACGGGTATCATTATATCTATTCCCTTAAAAAAATCACATGACTCACCTAAGACTCACGGATGTGAAAAATCTTCACATAGTAGGAAAATTTTCCATCAAATAGATGGTAACATCATAAAATTTAGCCCACCCTGAAGAGTCCTCTGCTAATGAAAATTGTGAAATGCCTGTTTTAAAGAGGCTCAGAGGTACTACTCTTTCTTGCTGGAATGATTTTATTCTCAGTTGAGGACTAGCACATGAAATATGAAGACCCTTGCTCCTCCTCCATCTGATGGATCCTATGCAGCACCTTTGCTGTAGTTGGCAAAGCTGTCCCAGCTGAAAAGCATTTAGTCAGTTATGTTTCCCCAAAACCCTTTCCATAAGTTTTAAAACAGCTGTTGCTATCTCTTATTAAAAGCCAATTTAGCATTTTCCTTTATGGTTTCAAAAATTAATCTAGCTAATGAAGTCCTTCTTCAAATTAAGGATGAGAACAAGTATATGCTGAATAAAGCAGTATAATTCATACTTATTGAGCATAATTCCTGCCTATATACTAAGCACTTTGTATTCATTACTTCACTTAATCCTCATACCACCCTTATGAGGTGGGTCCTGTTAGCAAGATAAGTTAAATCACTTGCCCACGGTCACTTAGTTCACTGAGTGTTGAAGCTGGGATTCAAACCCAGGCAGTCCGACTCTAGAATATGTGTCCCTATCTGCTGAGTACATATTTTGTACCAGGTGCCGTGTTAGGGCCTGAGAACAAAAAGATGAAAATGACATGGTATTTCTCCTCAAGGAGCTTAGAGTCTTTTAAGAGCACACATATCTGATTATTCTGAGACTTATTCTTAGAGCAATGTGGCCAAATTGGAAAATCAGGTACCACCTAACTAATGTAAATGTTTAAAATGGAAGGAGTTACTTCGCCTTTAAGGAATACTCTTCAAAGACAAAACTTACCAAAGTCAGGCCTTCTCTGAAAAGGAAAACAAACAAACAAACAAACAGACCATCCGCTCCCTGAGGTCGGGGGTCTGTTTGTCCCCTTGTCTCCAGACCCTGGCACAGGTGCCTAGTACACAGTGGGTGCTCCATAGATGCTTGTTGATGAATGAACACAATAGTACTACAAAGTAGTCCTTAAAATTTCTTAACTTGCTCTTGGGTGTCCTCCTCTCCCAGGCCACCTGCCCTGGTTGCCAGCATCTTAATTCTGGTGGACCAGGTGCCATAACAGATGGGCAGGGTGACATGACATGGGGTGGAAAGAGTGAAGGGTGTATGTACATGGGGCAGGGGGGAGGGAAAAACAAAAGTACAATGGTATTGTCATAAACAGATATGAGCATCTGTGACACTCCAGGTATATCAACCACCTTGTGACCGAAAACCCATCCCCTTTGGGCAATGGATGTTGCGACAAAACTGGGGATGCAGTAGCATCCAGACATCATGCTTATGCAGTGTATATACATTTTTATATACACACTTCTTTATGCTCAGACACAAACACACACACAAAGACAACAGGAAAATAGAGGAAGGAAGACCATACCTTTAACTACCCTATCCAGATAGTGAGCTAGGGAGATAAAAGACAGGACATTTAAGGTAGGATTGAGTAAGTGCAATATCGCCTGTCACATAACCATGCCAGCTGCTAAAGAGACAAAGGGATTGTGCCCCACGTTTGGGACAGGCCTATGCCACGGTGGGGAAAATAAAACCAAAGACAGGACGACACGAGAGAGGAGGAGGGAGAGCAAGCATTCTCCAGAGATGGCCAAAAGGAACTTCAACTCATTCTGTGATCCAGGCATTTGGAAATATGATCATAGAAACAAGAAGACATATGAATAAGGAAAACAGACAAAGAAGGATGGGAAGCTGCAAAAGTGGCCACACTCCTGCTCTGCCAGCTTTGTCTGGCTTTACAGAAAACTAGAGCCTGTCCCTTTGACTACTCAGAGCAGCATCCAACTTCCCTACAGGTGAAGCAGCCATACCAAGAACAAATGGTACCTCATTTGGGCAGAGGCATTTCCAAGAAGTTGGAATTTAGAAATATGCAAAATTTGGATAATCTCTGATATGCACTAGTAAAGGCGGTTGAGTCTTTGATCAAATATACTGCTGGATTATCTGTTTGCCATTCTTGAATTTTTCATGTACACATGTGCCCACATATGCTTGAATGTAGAATGCTTAGTGTTCTAAGTAAGACGCATCCCTCCTTTGTGCATCTTACACAGACTATGAGGTGCAGGTCAATGGATGTCACTGTGAAAAACAAGACAAAGCAAACAAAATCTGAGCATTTCTCAATGCTTATTAACCCTAAAGAAAGAATGATGTGTGCTTTGTTTTCCAATGGAGGGGTTATGTCCAAGCCTTGAATTATTTGGCCTTCTAAAGTTTTGCTTATTTGAGGATGGGTATCAAAGTTTGCTCTGAAATAAACCCCACTGTGCATATATATGGGTGTCTGGCTGAGTGTTTAGAGCAGGGCAGGCCTCCTAAATTCCTTGCATGAATCACTAATACCATTTCACCTGCCCTACATAGGCTGTAGTTATAGCCCTTCGAGGAGCTTCTCTTTGCTTATCTCTCCACACCTCCCCCTAGTGTGTTGTGCAAAGGCCGGGTAGCTGGGCAGTCTCCTGAAGGATCTGATGCCTTCAGCCAGGCTGCACTCTAGCCTCAGCTGAATTTCACACATGAATCAAAAGTCCATCTGACAGGACTGGACTGCAACGGTGTGGCCTTATCAGAAATCCCTAGGGTTATTTAAACATTCTTACTCTCTTCATAGAAAAACATAAATTATATATTTTTTAATTCTCTGGATAGAACAGATATTGTGTTCATCAATATATATTAACCTCAAAGACTAGTGGATAAGAGGCTGTGTTCTTAGTTCAGGTATCCATGTGGTCTCTGGTTCAAGATGAAATACACTTCTGGAGCCTGCACAGCCAAGTAGAAAATTGGGAAGAGGAAATTTTAACTGAGGATACATGCCTTTTTTCATTCTTACAGATGTTGTGGAGTCCATGAGATGTAGGATATAAGATGGGAACATGAAAGGGAGTACTTGTTAAGCAGGGATGAGTAAACAAAGCTATGGAATGCCAAACAATGAAAAATGGGAATAGCCCACACGAGAAATGGCCTAGGAAATATCTCTGGCTAAAGGGAAAGCTTTCTTGATTCTTGGCTCTTCTGTCACTTTAGTCTTAGTCAAGCTAATTTATCTAATTTTGCAAAGTGGTCTAAAATGTCTTACATCTCATCTCCCAGGATATGCTATCAAAGAGCATGAATACATAGAATCACCTGGCTTTCGTGGTTTTTGTTAGCTTTCATATCTGCAGAATTTTTTGGAGGGTCCCAATTATAGTTCTTGTAATAACTCTGAATCCAGTTATAGAAGAGGTGTAGTGAGCCTAGATTTTTTTCCCAGGGATGGCTAGGCTGGATGAGACACCATCACTGGGATCCAAGTGGTCACAGCATCCACTGTGAGGGAGTTCTCTGATGAAAAAACTTTCTCGATTGTCTCCAAACTTAATGGTGGTATCATAGTTCTGTTGGTGAGTGAAGCTTATATCCACTCTATAGGATAATCTCCCCAGGGCCAGGGGTTGACTTAAGAGAGCTCTCTCTCTCTTCTAACACCATTTTCAAGAACCAGGTAACCATGCTATTAAGTGAAAATATGTTTTTGATACCTTTAAAAATTCTTACTATTTCCCCAGACCACAGGTAGGAAAGGAAGTCAGTGGAAATGATGGAGGCAGGCTTAGGTTACCATCATCACTGCGAGTTTTCAGGAGACAAGAGTAGACATTCAAAACTTCAAATCCTGACTCCACAAATCAAAAGGGATTCATTTGCCACAAAGAGCCCCCAAGCCACACTGTGAATCCAAAAGCTGGTAACAGCCAGTTACTACCAAGTCCATGAGTTTTCTGAGAATGGAACAGAGCTTCCTTGTCTGTGGCTACTGAAAATGGGAATGACAAATGAGTCCTTGAACTTTACTGCCATTTATTTATAAAAGGCATATGCGGAAGTCCATACTGTGGTTGCTTTTATTGTTTGAAAACCTTGGCGCATATGCTCTTGAGTACAATTGTTTAAAAATTCATGATTTTAAAGTACCAACTTTTAGAAAAGATGATGCAAACTTTGCATTATGAAAGGTGGATTCAGGACTTCATCAATTCCTGCATCTTTCTCTTCAGAACTTCAGGATAAAGATGATGGCAGTAGTCATCTTTCCTCTTGGGCCACGCTGTTTCTTTGGTATTTGCATGTTTCTCATACTCCTACTATGCTCCTATCTCTATGTGAAAAGCTGGAGATAATAATAGCTATTTATGCTACAGACTGAGCTTTTGGCATGCAGTTGGTCTGCGTGGTCTTAGGTCTCTTTGGCCTTTCTCTGATCACCAACATAAAAACTTCTTTCCTTGATTTGCCTCTACCAAAAGAGGTTTCCAAAAGTTTCTCTTGGGATAATCTTTAAAGTCTTCAGGGGCCCCCTATCCAAAGTTATGGAGAACATGGCAAGAGGCTTTTCATTCTTACTCTCCAGGAGCCTCAGGGTAACTCGAACAGCTGCATTGCTGGTACATGTTAGGCCACAAGAATCAAGGATCACTACAGCAGGTGACGAGTTGGCGGTTCTAGTCATCCGAGCTTCTTTCAGATGGATGACAAACCACCAAAGAGATGTTCTTGCCAAGCTCTTGGATACATTAGTGCTCTTCTCTCTTTGGATAAGTGCTCAGTGACACCCACAATGAGAGAAATTCAAAGCCAGGTTCCCACCCCACCACATGTGGGCTGAAGTCTCCCAGGATCATTAGCAAATCAAACTTGTGCTCTGATAACTTGAGGTAGATCCCTGTACATTTTCTCTCTCTCCTTGTCAGCATCTTTCCTGTCAAACCACAGGTCCTGTTGTGAGTGAATGCTTTCTGAAGGGATAACCATAGCATTATCACAGCAGCCTATACCTCATGAGTGATTTGTGGGCTCTTGGTTAAGGATTTTCTGATTATGAAAAAGAAATCTGAGAACTATCAGGCAAAAGTGGACAAAGGGCCAGGTGTGCTGGCTCATGCCTGTAATCCCAGCACTTTGGGAGGCCGAGGCAGGTGGGTCACCTCAGGTCAGGAGTTTGAGACCAGCCTGACCAACATGGAGACACTCTGCCTCCACTAAAACTACAAAATTAGACAGGTGTGGTGGTGGGTGCCTGCGATCCCAGCTACTTGGGAGACTGAGGCAGGAGAATCACTTGAACCTGGGAGGTGGAGGTTGTGGTGAGCCGAGATCACACCATTGCACTTCAGCATGGGCAACAGGAGTGAAACACCATCTCAAAAAAACAAAAAACAAAAAACAAAAATTAGCTGGTGTGGTAGTGCACACCTATAGTCCCACCTACTCGGGAGGCTGAGGCAGAAAAACTGCTTGAACCTGGGAGGCGGAAGTTTCAGTGAGTCGAGATGGTGCCACTGTACTCTAGCATGGGCAACAGAGTGAGACTCTTCAAAAAAAAAAAAAGTGGACAAAGCACGGAAGATTTTGTGGCTTTTCTTTATAATTTCTCTTCATTGGGAAGTCTGGTTTTGCTCACTCAAGTAATTGTATCTTCAGGGTGTCATTTTGATCTTTACCCCCAGAGGAAGTTTTGTTTAAAAATCAGGATTTCTAGGATTGGACAGCTCTCCTGAAGTCTGGTAAATAATTCTGTATATCTGGTATCTTGAACAATCACAGCTTTGGAGTCAAGGCTGGAATTTTATTAATGTAATCAGAAGCTGGCATTTTCTACAGGTGTTTTCAGACTTTAGAGACAAGGGGCACTGAGGTGAATAGAAAAACCATCATAGAATTGATCCAAAATGTTAGTAGTGTTTTCAAAGAAATAGGAAAAAAATTAAACACCTTGTTAAATTTAACTATGAGTTTCAGCTTTCTCAAAGGAAATCAGAGGTCAAGCCCCAGACTTCAGGGATCCATAAAACTCCCTGAAAAGAACTAAAAAATATGCGTTTGGTGACTCTCTTGTCAATCATATACTTGAGAAACAGATCCAAATCAATCCATCTTACCTTAACTTCTTCTGGACTAGGAAAACTGGGTTTCACATACACAAGTGGGAGTATTAGTGTCACGTAAGTAACAGTGAAAATGAAGAATCCCTCTTTCTTCACGAGATATTTTTAGGAGCAGATGACTCACTTTTGGGCTGATGGGTATACAGTTCTGTGGGCAGTGGAGGAGGGGGCTGAAATTCTGTCACCCTTGGGGACCTCCTCCAGCCACTCCATTCTGTGATTCACGGAGAGAGAAATTAAGCCTCAGGCAACTGCGTGGTCTGGCCCTGGTGCTTTTACCAAAGACCCTTCTTCAAGATGCAAAGAGACAGGTGATTCCTAACATAAGGAATTAGGATTGAATATAAAATATTTTTGTTGTTTGACAAAAATACTGTCATTGAAGAGGTGCCACTGTCAAATTCCCTTTTATTCTGAAAACCAACCTCTCTTGAGAAGAATCAAGTAGCTTCCATGAAAGATAAGGTGAGCCAAAGGCTCCAAAAGAAGATATTTAATTCCTACGGTAATAGTCTGCTCTGGGAAATGTCATTGGGGTAAAAAGGTTTTTAATGCTGGGGACTTGGCCATAAGGGGCCTAGATTTGTCTTGTTCTTTAAATTCTGTATTCCTGCTGTAAGGTATTCAAGCCATTCCTTCCTGTTTGTGCAGGGAGGCAGTATGTAAATAAATAGACCCTCTTTTTTTGCTTCCACTGCCTAGAGGTCTCTAAATCAGTGTCGTGGATACCAGCTCTTTCTCTGGTATGGGAAGTAAAAATTGCAGCTAGGAGCTAGCTGCACGATAATGACCTATTGTATAGTAATGAAATCTGATAACAAGAGAAAATTTAACACTTTGAGTTTCTAACTGTTCACATCAGCAGTGTTTTTCTTTTCCTAAATGACTCTCACAGGGAGTAAAGTTCTCTGGAAACAAGGAAATGCTTCTCATTATCATGAAAGACTAAAAATGGATTTCCCCTTCTCATTTCTATTTCAACAAGATAAGGATGGCACCATTGTTTCTCTACTTTGCTTCCTCCCTCTTCCCTTATATCCTACGGGGTTATTGAAGTGTTCCTTCAGCACGAGGGTGTTGAGTTTCTCGTAGGGATGCAGCTGGCCACAGGCAGAGACCCACAGACAGAAGGTTACCATGCAGGAAAATTAGACAAGGACGAAGAAAATGCTCACCACACAATGAGAGGTAGTAATAGAATTCCCAGCCAAAGTCCTTTCAACTGAGCCACTATGACTAGTCCATTGCTTCTTCAATGTCCTATGACATTTCTTTGGTATTTAGGACTGTCAACCTTCTTCTTATATTGTGCACATTTACCTTGATGTATTTCTTACTGGAGGGAAAAGGTATCTGCAACCCCAAGGTGGAATCTCTTCTAGAAGAGCGACAACAGAACATACAGGAGAGGTAGGAGTGCATGGTTTGACTTCTTGGCATCAGAATAAAAGGGGCATTTTTAAGGCCAGACTGATGAATATCCAGAAAATACTGCCTGTAAAACAGCCTGCCCACAAGCCCTGACATGAGTCATGTGTGACTAGATGAAAGGAGAGGTTCCCTAAGATGACATGCGTTTATCTTATAACATTTTTGTCCAATATTTGCAAATGTTTTGGAGTTTGGTAAGATGAGCTGAGGACTCTGTAAGTAAGAGACAGCAAACAGAATGGGCCCTCTCTGGGCTCTGTTTTTTGTTTTTGTGTTTTGTTTCTTTTTGAGATGGAGTCTCGCTCTGTCACCCAGGCTGGAGTGCAGTGGCACGATCTCGGCTCACTGCAAGCTCTGCCTTCGGGTTCACGCCATTCTCCTGCCTCAGCCTCCTAAGTAGCTGGGATTACAGGCACCCGCCACCATGCCCGGCTAATTTTTTGTGTTTTTAGTAGAGATGGGGTTTGACCATGTTAGCCAGCATGGTCTCGATCTCCTGACCTCATGATCCGCCCGCCTCGGCCTCCCAAAATGCTGGGATTACAGGCGTGAGCCACCGCGCCCGGCCTTTTTTTTTTTTTTTTTTTTTTTTTTAAGATAGGTGTGGGCTTTCTTCTGGGCTGGGAGGCTGAAAGCTTGGTTCATCCTCAGTCATGTAGAAAAGGGAAAGTGAGGTGAAAGCAGAGTTTAAAGAAGAGGGCCCCTTAGATGACCAGGGCCACTTCTCACTAGGGTTTCCAGGACAATTGTAAGGGAGGATGACACCGACATAAAGAAGCCATTAAAGAGCACACAGTAAGATGACGCAGCACAACCTGCAATGGCTGCCGCAGTGGCTGCCATCGTGATGGAGTGGCTCTGTTGAGGATGGGGGCTGGGCAGATTAGGTGACGGACTCCGGGTGCAACTGCCACAACACGGCACAGTCTCCAGGAGGGACAGGAGCAGGTGCCTCAGTAGAAAACCTGGACTTTGTCATGCAACGGCTGCAGAGCAAGCAGCTGGTAAGGAAAAATCAAGTGTCAAATTCCTGTTCTACCTCTTTGAAGTGACCTTAAGCCTCAGATCCTCGAAAATGAGGAAATAATACATACTGCTTCACAGGGTAATTGTAAGGAGGATAAAATAATGCAGCTAAAGTTCTTAGCACAGCTCTCAGCAAGTTGTGAATACTTAAAAATCAGAAGCTGTTATTACTATTAATATTAATAAATGTAAGGTGCTCCATGACCAAAACCAGGGATGTTTCAGGGGCAGGGACCAAGGATATAAACTAATGTTAGGCTTCAAAACGAAAACAACGAAGACTAAAAAAACCTTCAAGGGGTAAGAGGTAGCTCTGTTTGCTCAAAATTCCTCTGTCTCTCCAAAGCTGTGGGGCTTGTCTTCCAGTTTCTCTAAGACCCAAGAAGTCACTTTCTGAGCCAGAAAGGCACCTGGAATCCTGCCTTCTAAAGCCATGTGCTCACCATCTGATCACAGACCCTTCATTAAAAAAAACAAAAAACAAAAAACAAAAAACAAAAACGGAAGGGGAAGAAGTTAAAACACATATATACACAAACCAGTTGATTCAATAAAGAGCTTTTGGTGAGTGCTCATTCCAGGATAACAAACCAAGCAAAACGTCTGGCTGAGTTTAAAATCAACAAAACCAGCAGGAAAGGCAGAAAGAAGGGAACGAAGTGATCAGCTTGTTTTCAGAGCCGCTTCAGCAGGAGCTGGTGCCGAGGAGCCTCCAAGGGAGGGGAAAGGAGACAAATGCAGACAGGATGGAAACTGAGGATGGGGGAAGATCCCAGGCCTAAGGGACTCCAGATGTGGCCTCAGGGCCTGTGGGGAGCTCTCCCCCAGGATTCCAGACCTCTTGCGGAATTCTGACCTAGGAGCCCAGGGGGCATGGAGGGCTCAGAACTAAGCCCCAGCCATCCTAGCAAGATAATGCATTGGATAATAATGGCTGCATGTACTGGGCACTCCACTGCATGCCAGCCTTTGCTAAGGTCTTCACATGTATTATTATCCCCATCTTACGAGTGATGAAACTGAGGATCCAGAGTGTTGATGGGGCTTGCCCATAGCTGCTAAGAAGTGCTCATCTGCCTAATTCCTGAACACAGAGCTCCCTGACACAGAGCCACGCTGCATTTAGCCTGGAAGGAGCTAAAGAGCAAGGTGTGCTAACCAGCTAACCAAGCCCTGGGAAATGGAAATTGGGAGTAATAAGGTTTAAAACACCAAATTGTGAGTTTAAATCTAACCGATGGCTAGGAAATGCCAGTCGTAATGCCTCTAGATGAAAGGACTTTCTTCCCCATCCCCACATGCGATGAAGCCCCAGGCTGGCCCTGAAATGCCCCGACAGACAAAGGTGTCCTGCAGACCAGAGAAGGTACCCGGGGGCCTCGGCCCGCCATACCGATGGTGCAGTGTTCGCCATTCCAGCCAGGGCTGCACTCGCACTTGCCGTCGCGGCAGGTCCCGTGCTCCGCACAGCGCGGGTGGCAGGCCCGCTGGTCGCAGGCTGCCCCCATCCAGCCATCCTCGCAGCGGCAGGTGCCCCCTACACACACGCCGTGGCCGCCACAGTCGGCAGCACAGATCTCTGTGGGAAGGAGCAGAAGGAGGGAGGACACCAGGGCCAGGAGGGGAGGCAGTGGCCAGAGGGGCAGGGGAGGGAGGAGAGAGAAAAACAACAAGTATTGAGCAAGTTATTATTGGAAACCAAAGTCACACTTGGCTACATACCTGGGCTTCTGTGACAGATTGGGATTCCAGAGGTTCGGGAGACTAATCTCCGTGGACAATGACCCTCGGATGAGAACAATTCTCTGGGCAGAACCTGTCCTGTGCCTGTTTCCCCACCAAAAGAGGAGGGATTGTAGGGCTCTGCTCAATTTGCTTCTCCCTCTTGCCAGTCTGTCCCTGCCTTTGTGCTTGCCCGTTCCAAAGGGGACTGGCCTTCTGAACAGATGTCAGGAAAAATCAAATGTAATTAAAAACCGGTTATGTGTGAAAACAAAGTAAGGATGAGTCCCCGTCGCCAAATGAAGTGCTTGTGGTCTCGCTGGGCACGTGATGAGTTCTGGGGCCTGCATTTCATGACTGCCTGGACTCTGATTGAGGCTGGGGTGCGGGAGGGAGGCTGAACCCAAACCCCGTGAGTATTCTCTGGGTTGTTGTCCAAAACCTATAGTTTGTTCTGTACTTTTGCTGGGTTTATTCTCTTTCAGCTTCCTGCTTCCTCACCCCAACTCCAAGAACCATCTAAATGGGGTTTCAGATCCAAAGCAAACGGTTTGGAGGGGGGCCCTTCATAGCCAGAGTGGAGCTGCCCACCCTTCACAAAGGTCCATCTGTGAGATGGTGTAAAACACACAGGGCCGGATTCACAAGCCCCTTAGGCTCCAGGCCAGCAACAGCTTCATGCTTACTGCAGGCGGAGGTGGTAAAGTCTTCCAAAATACAACTGCTCTTTGGGAAACAGGTTGAGCAACCACGTCCACTGAAGCTCTCTGTCAGGGCTCTGATGGAGAGAGACTGACTTGATTCTCATAACTCGTGGCCCAACATGCTTCAAATTCACATGAAAATCTCAACCCTTTTCATTTCTTTCAGACTAAATTAGCTAGCACCCCTGTCAAGGTGTATTTGCTCATCTCCCTTCCAAGCTGCATGCTTGGTTTAGAAGCTGCTAATATCTTAGCTACTTTGAAAAAGAAAAGAAAACAAAATTAGGTCTCAGGGGTTCAGACTTTCCTACCAACCTACAAGACAATGAATAAAATGTTTGAGAATTTAAAAAATAGTAAGAGTTACCATGTACGTTGTGTTCCTGTGCCAGACATCCTGCCAAGCACATTACCTCAAAAGGGAGGTACTTATTATGTGCAGTAACACATCAGATTCTTCAGCTGTAAAGTGGGAAGGGATATCTCTGACCTGGAGCCAGGGACTTGGGTTCTATGCCAGGCTCAGGAGCTTCTGAGCTGTGTGACCTGGGGCAGGTCCCTTGACTTCACTGAGCTACAGTTCCTGTCTGGAGAGTTCCTGATCCTGTCAGACAGTTCCTTGTCTGGAGAGTGTGAGCTGCATGATGCCACCTTGCAGCAGCCCTTTGCTGACCTAACTGGGCTCTGGAGAGCACCCAGTGAAGTGGATGACAAAAAGGCACGACAAAGATCAAGCAACCAAGAAATTGAACTCAATTTCCTGAATTGAGGTCAGCACAGTGAACTTTAGACAAGGAGTCTAGGAGGTTTGTGAGATCTATGCCTGCTCAGCCACTGATCTACTGTGTGGCTTTGGGGAGGTCACTTCCTCTCTTCTGGGTGTCAGTTTCCTCATCTATTGCACTGGAACCTAATGGTACTTAAGATCCCTTCAGGCTGTAAGAATGTGGGATTCTATCACAGAGCACCCTCCGTTAGACAGTGTATCTACCCCCAAGAACTGGCTGAAAAGTACCCCCTCCTCTGAGAAATCTCCTGTAATTCACCCTGTGGGTTATTCACTTGTTTCTTTCCTTCCCATTTTTACATGGTAGAGTGGTTTTCTGTTTCTGTGTCTGTCTTATCATCAGACTAGGAACCCAAGGCTGGTCTAATTCCTTTGATCACCTCGATCCCTGGTACCAAGCACAGATCCTGGTATAGAATAGACCTCTTATTAAGGTTCGTTGGATGATGGATGAATCATGGTATGCCTGAGGCTATAGGCGCCTGAGAATGGTAAACATTCATTCACCACACCCCACTCAGCCTGGCTGAAAAGTCCAGCCAAGCCCACCTGTCTGTTTCTCTCTAGCGACCTGCCTGTATGAGACGGTCCCGTGTGAGTACAGGGCTGCGGAGCTATGTCAAGCAGCCCCCTAGGATGTTGTTTAAGCTCTTTTCCTTTCTTGCTCACATAGACAACACTTGGTCTTGCCTCAAGATAAAGAATGACAATCTCCAGGCCCCAGGACATCCTAGGTCCTGTCTCTGTAATTCCCATTTCTTCTGCACAACATTGAAAGGGCAATGACTTCCTGGTGACTCTGGAGGCTGAGCCTGGGGTCAGGGCTGGAACTTTCCCTTGAGGGCCGTGGGAGAGATGAAAAATCAGCTTAGTATTTGTTTGAGTTTACTCAGCACTTTTTCCAGGTGGTGGTTTATGGTGTGAAAGTAAACAGCAGAAAGCATACTATTCACTGAGGTGTGAGCCAGGAGAGGGGCAGGCTGCTGGGGCCAAAGCCATGGTGTCTTCAGGCAGCAGAGAACATGGAGCCCATCAGGGACCAAGAGAAGAGGCAGGCTTTTCCCCACAATCAACTTCCAGACTTCACATCTTAGCTAAAACGTACTTCATTGCTTTGTTAAGTCACCTGGAGACAGTATGGACGAAAGACAGTAAGACTTGGAATCAGATGTGATTCCAGATCTCAGTTCTGCTAGCTCTACGACCTACTCAATAGCCGTAAGCTTCCTTTTCTTCCTCTGCAAAGTGGCGATGATGAGGGCAACCACTTCAGAGGCTTCTTCCTGCCTTATACATAGTAGGTATTGATAAATTCATACTAATTCATGTATTCTTCTAATAATATCCACACATGTCTACTATACGCCAGAGACTGTACCTGGTGCTAGAAATACAGAGGTCAATAAGATATAATCTCTGCCCACCAAGAGATCACAGTCCAGATAAAGCACAAACTAATACTGGCATTCAAAAGATTATCCAAATAACCTACAGCTATGACTCATGCCTGCACCTTTTTGCTATGTACAATGAATTAAAGAACACGGAACTAAGGATCAGACAGGTCTGATCTACCCATGGCTTTGCCACTTACTGGCTGGGCAATCTGCAAGCTGCCAATTATGCAATTCATTGAACCTTGCTTTCCATTTCTGTAAAATGGGGTTAATAATTCCCACTTCACCAGTTTCAAAGGGTTGGTGTTAGATCAAATGAGGTAATATGTGGGAAAGCCACTTTTTGTTTAACTAGTGCTCACATCAAGTTTTACAGTTTGCAAAGCACTCTTCATGGACAATTTCTCACTGAACTACAACAACAAGGCTGTGAGAATGCCTGGCTATTATCCTTCTTAGTGGTGTGGATACTGAGGCCAGATAGTATGAGGACATTCTACAAGGGCATGTGATCCTCTAGTGTCTTTCATTGTTTTGACAACCCTTGGAACAGTACTTCAAGGCAAGCATTTTACAGATAAGGAAACGAAGCCTCAGAACAGGCAAGGAATGCAGACCTGTCATGGGTGGGCTTCCGCTTGCGGGAAACTTGCAGCTTTTCCAGCAGATCCCCACCTCCTGCCACTTCTGGCCCTGCTTATCCTTTGTTATATCCAAGTCGGACCCTGATATATGTGAGATGAAATGAGATCCTCTACACAGAGTTTCCCAGGCACTTAGTCTTACCCTTCCCATCTGGAGACTATGGCTCTGTCCATCCAAACACTCCACTTCCTTGCCAGTTTACACTAGACATGCTCTCCTGGCATGAAGTTAAAGTGGCCTGGTGACTGGGCACCCCTCCACCAGCCCTTTACAAGCTGGGTTGTGAGCTCTTACACGTTCTAATGGAAGGGGCCTGAGCAGGGCGACCTCGATGTTTATGGGGTGCTAACTGACGGTAACACAGCCTGGGAGCGCTCGGGTTCTCTGCAGATAGGCCCATCTGACTGAGTGGAGAGACCCACAGACTCAAGATGAGAGTAGAAACCTGTGATGCTACTTTATCATTTGGCCTCAAGTCATGGTCCCTATAGTTTCTTTTTTTCAAATACCTTGAAACAAAAGGAACTGTTTTATTTTTCCTTCTCAGATTCTGCTTTGACATTAAAGCAGATATAATTTGACAGTTCATATGTCTTTTACATAACATAAGCGGTCCTTTGTGAAATGTGGGTTATGGCTCCTCTCCTAGGCACAGGTTCCCGTATGTAAAATGGGAATGACATCAACTACTATACTTTGGAGGATTGCTGTAGGAATTACTTTCATTTGGTTGATTTCTTGGATGCTCCCTGTGTGCAAGTCCCACAGTGGGCACTGGAGATCCCATGGTGATTATGACAGGCATGAATTTTTTCCTGACCTCAAAGAGTTTACATTCTAGCATGGCAGACAGATATAACCTAAATCAATTTAGCATGAATGAAAGTATAGCTTCTAACATAGTGCCTGGCACATATTCAAGATATAAAGACACACATTTTTATAAGAAAGGAAATGAAATGTAGTGGCAAGTACACTAGACTAAACTTAGAAGATCAGATGTGAATTCTGACTTTCACAACATACCCAATAACAAGGGAGGGTTTGAGAAATGCTAGTTGGCTTTCACATGACCAACATCAGAGCTTTCTGAATTAATGTTGGAGGGCTGGGGACTGGGAGGAATCTTTTGAAGTACCAGAAGTACACAGCCATAGGGCAGACTTGGGTTCAGATTCTGACTCCCCAATTTCCTAGCTGTGGGTCCTTGGGGAACTTAATCTCTTTGAGACATAATTCTTTACCCCTAAAATGAGGAGAGTAATAATGGTCCCCCTCTAGGATGAGTGGTGACAACTGAAGGAAATAGTTTATATTAAAAGCT